CAAGAGAAGAGAAGAGAAGAGAAGAGAAAAGAAAAGAAAAGAAAAGAAAAGAAAAGAAAAGAAAAGAAAAAAGAAAAGAAAAGAAAAGAAAAGAAAAGAAAAGAAAAAAGAAGAGAAGAGAAGAGAAGAGAAGAGAAGAAAAGAAAAGAAAAGAAAAGAAAAGAAAAGAAAAGAAAAGAAAAGAAAAGAAAAGAAAAGAAAAGAAAAGAAAAGAAAAGAAAAGAAAAGAAAAGAAAAGAAAAGAAAAGAATACAAATACTTCTATTTCTGCTCGGAAACTGTTTCTGGACTTTTTGTGTTTGTGGTGGAAAAAAAGAAAACATGAAACTTTGACTTTGGGTTTTACCGATTTGATAGATTTGTTGTTATAGAAATGGCCAGTTTCAAGTATTTATGTAAAAAGTAAACAGTTGAGCTTTGATATTTAAGGCCTTATTCTACTGCACCGAAGGGAGTCAGAGAAAGTCAATGCCTTTTTTTTTTCTTTCTTCCCTTTCTTTTCTTTCCCTCACTTTTCTCTTCCCTTTTTCCTTCCCTATTATTTCCTTTTGCATTTTCTTTGCATGCTACATTATAAACAGATAAAAATCGTTTGGGGGGGCAGAAAGGGGGGTTTCCTAAATTGGGGCACAACTTGCTGAACAACCGCCTTGCTTAGCGATGCAGATTTGGGGCTCAATTGTGGTCGTAGGTTGAGGACTACCTATCTGTGGATTTCGACTCTCCAGAAGGGCCCACCCAGCCAGCATATTGCCTGGGGAATTCTGGGAGATGTAGTCCACACAACTGCGTTAAAATAAACCATTTGTCCGAAATGGTATAGGGTTTCCTGCCTGAGCAGAGGGTTGGACTAGAAGACCTCCAAGGTCCCTCCCAATTATGTTATTCTATGCCCGTGACCTATGGCACTTGTGCCAGAAGTGGCATGCAGAGCCATCTCTGCGGGCACACAAGTGTCGCCCCAGCTCAGTTCCACTGTGCATGTGTGCGCACCTCCCACCATCCAGCTGATTTTCAGGTATCTGCTGTGCATGCATGGGGGGGCGCATGCGGGAGACACATGCGCATGCGCAGGGTGGCGGGGGAATGTGGGGGGAGCACAAATATACGCAGGAACGGGGGGAAGCCTGCACATGCACAGGGAGGCGGGGGAGCATGGGGGGGTCGCATGTGCATTGCAGGGTGCAGACACGCATGCGCGCACTGTTGGCCTGCGACGACAAAAAGGTTAGCCCTCGCGGTTCTATGCTATGCTATTGTATCCTTATTCTTCTGTTCTGTTCTATTTCTATTCTATAGTTGCTAAAGTTGAGAAGCTAAGCCACTGAGCCTTGGCTGAAATTGACAAGAGGAACCAGACGATGCCACTGCTCAAGGAAGTCCATCCTTCCTGTATGTTTTTCAGTCTGTCGTGCCTTGTCATATCCACAGCCAGCTCCTACTCATCAAATACAGCAGATACTGGCTCAGGGATGAAGGGAGTGGGTCATGAGTGGCGAACGCAATCTGAAATCGGACATAAAGAGGAAAAACGGAGGAAGGGAAAAGGGGAGGAGATGGGTTACACAAAGGGGAAGAAAACAAAATGTTTATTCCAGGCCTGCGTTAGACCACCGTCTGCACCAACGAACTGCTCTACACAACATGGAACC